CTAGAGGAAAAATCCTCTGCCCCCGTCGGGGATCGAACCCCGGCCGTCCAGCCCGTAGCTAGTCACTATACTGACTGAGCTATCCCGGCTCATACAAAAAATGGGTAACAGTTATAATAATTCATCTATTTCTTGGAAGAATTATTCATGACTGATTGTTTTGTGTCAAAATCACTGTCCCTTAGAACCAGTGAATAGCCATAATACAGATAATATTCTTTTCTCTGCTCATACAGCTATACATATGTACCCTACTGAAACTTCAACACAGTTTGTTTATACTTTAATCTCATTACTTGTTTATAAATGACAGCATATTCTTTGGTTACATGGAACTTCAGATTTTTCAGAACAGTTGTATGTTTTATGTTATCATTATCAGTATCAGTATTTGTATTATCATTAGCAGTGTATTATCAATATCAATATAATTGGTATGTTGGACCATTAGTCACATAGCAATAAAATAAAATAAAATAATTATTAGTATTTTCTAAGTGAGTGTCTTCTTCATGAAAAATTATAAGTAATTTTAGCAATAGTGCACATTTCTTGCGGGAAGCCAAGGCAAAACTTAAAGGGCTGTAGTGCTACAGGAAGAAGGAGCGTATTTCTTGGCACTATTATATCCATGTATTAATATATACATATATAAAATACATACCATTTTCTTTACACAGTACTGTTTTCAAAGTTAGTGGTGTGTGCGTGATGCAATGAAAGTTCGTATCCTAAAAAGATAATTAAATCGGTGGCCAGATTCAAATAATGAAAGCCAATATAACCAAATTCTTCACACAGCTAACTATGAAATAGTTTGCAACAGATAATGCTGATTCAAATAAAACTAACCCCTCATCAAGGCCATTTAAATACTAGATGTTAAGCCATGGTGCATTATTATTTTTTAAATGCTACAGCATTTTCTTTGCAGTGATGTACCAAAACTCAAATGTCTTAACTACTCTATGTAAATTTTGTCATGTAGTTTGGTTATGTCATTGTACGACTGTATTGAATCTTCTGCCAGAGAGAGGGCACTTCACAGAGACAGATTGTTTTTTTCCTACTTCCATAAGAAATACATATTACACTGAAAACATGTTCAAATTAAAAGTGGTTGAGTTAATTGAGATCAGTAATTTATAGTGTACCAGTTGTTGGTACTGTGAACCATTTTTAAGAAATGTGGCAAGTTCCATTTGAGCTTCATATGAGGTTATGTTTATATTGGACCATTGTGGGTCAAAATGAAATCTGTCCAACAGCTTTGAATGTAGATCTTCAATATAAAATTTCATCATCGGGTAAGTGCTTTTTAAATGAACATTTTCAGCAAGTTATTAATGTGTGAAATGTAAAAATTGAAAAGAAGTGTTGTGTTACATGGTGGCACTTTATTCTATGGGCATTCTTTATACAATTAACAAATTTCTCACAGGCCAGAAACTGAATTGATGATCTTCTGCTTAACATAGCATATCATTACAGTTGTTATGAAAGATAAAGATAGGTCTTTCTCAACAGATTAAAGCTTGTACATAAATTGCTTACCGAAGAATGAGACATTCCTTCACTTAAGTTAATATCACTGTGCATCTTTTCCCAGTCTCTTGATACTCTTTTTTAGGTCAAAATATTTTCAACAATTTGTTCTCAAAGGCCATCACTTGTAGTGGAAGTCCAAGTTTAACGTCTATACAAAACAACAAGTAAAGTATATTTTTGTGTATTTTAATTGCCTTTTATGGGAGACTGGAAGACTTAACTCAAACATTGTCCAAATTTAATATGCTTTTAACCCTTTGTGAAACTATGGGGAATGGTAGGTGCTACAATGATTTGGATTGACTTTTATCCAGCCAGATCTGGTACGTATTTTTCTCAGTGCCTTTCTATTATTTCAACTTCAACAAAATCCGAACGTTGTGAATTGTGAGTCCTTATCATCATCATCATCATGAACATTCCATTGTGCATTTTTATGAAGTCCTAATTCTGCCAGTGCCAACCATTTGTGTATCTGAGGATTCTGGCTTTGTTAGTCTCTTCTGTATTTCTTTTCTACCGGAGGCATTACTTTGATGTAAATGTTTTGTGCGGTTCGGGGTAATTAAGCGCATTTCCGTCATGAATGTTAATTTTGTAAAAATTATTATCCCCAAGTAGCATGGTTACTAGGTAACTTATCGAGAATATGTTGGTAGCGCTGCAGTGTTTGGCAATGTGAAGATTTTACACTGAGCATGGCAGTCAGCGCAAAGCCATGTAGGTATGTAGTTATGCAGGTGGCGCTATATCTAAAAGGATGTACATGCTGTGCTGTGGAACTGAGGAGGTTGACATCTGAGTTCATTATGCGAGATTAAGGTTAGTTTTCTTACTTTATTTAGAAGACATGTAAGTTTAGTGTGCTTTAATTTCTTCGCTGTCTGTTGCAGGTGGTGTTATTATTTGAACCTGTATGCTCTGCCATGTCTAGAAACTTTTAAGAAATTACAAGGAATAGTTTTAACATAACTACCGTATATTTAATGATTTATTGTGATAAGCAAGTGCATTATTTGGCTGACGAGTTTCGCTGGCCTTTGAGCCGCTACAAAATACATTTGGAGACTACTATAACAGAAATAAAATAATGTGACTGCTTTTAGGGTGCAAATTCGTTTTGTTTCAGAGTAAGGCTAGATTAAGTTCCTTGCAGGCTATGTGTATTCTTGCATCAGAGTGCTTTTAAATATTCATATTCATCTGTTGATTGCAGTATGAGACGTTCAGGCGCTTAAGAATGTCAAAATGTAAATAATTTCAGTCCTGAAAGAATTAAGTTCACAGAAACAGAAGAACAGAAGTGTCACTTTCGAAAATACAAAGACAATCGGTTCTTCGACTCAAGAAGTATAATGTAATTCAGAAATTAAGGACATTACCTGACGAACAGTTTCGTAATATTTACACGTCACCTGATATTATTAGGTTGGTTAAATAAAGGTATGTGCGAGGGTCTGGGATGGGGAAGAAAGAAATGCCTACAGAATTAGGTGGAGAAAACTCTTGAAACGCCTCAACAGATTAGTTTATAAAGTTCTTGGAAATTTTGATTTCGAGGAAATTTGTTTGGAAAGAAAAAATGTCATTTAAAATTATTTGTTACAAAATATAACAACTAATTAAGTTTTTAAACAAATACGATGACATTAAGAGAATCATGAGACGTAAACACCTGTATTAACCGCTCCATAGCTCAAGGAGTGGTCTGAGATCTGGGTTCGCGCCCAGATCAGTGAATGTGCGATTTGTGGTGGATAAAATGGCACGGGGGCAAGTGTTTTTCCAAGTTCTTCGGTTTTCCCCTATCAGTACCATTCCTCCGTTACTCCATATCCACTCATATACAATCGCGTGGCTAACAGATTGACCCATTAACTGCCCAATTCCACAGAGACGGTCTCGTCACATCGCAAAAGAAAAAAACACGTGTATTATCAAACACGTGCAGCAGAAAGAAAGTAACCCTCCATGTAACAAAGGTGTGTTTCGAGACAGCAAGATTTCGTGAAACAGTTTATAAAAATAAGTTATATGTAGTGCAGATGTTGATATATGTATATATGTTATAGTAGAAGTTAATAATCAGTTACTGCGAATACTAACCGGGCATTATACAAGATCCCCGGCAAAATTTTGTTTGAAATTTATAGGCTTGCATGATTTTCGGTTAAAAACATGCCAATTAATAAAAAAATATTTTAACATATATATTTCACACTGGTTTTTTTTTTATTTATTTACACGATGGGGTAAGAGAATGTACAGATGCAGCATTAACACCATAACAAATAATAGAACGGACAAGGAGAAATCTTAGCGGCTCTTCAGTATTCGCTGACCATAAGGGAACCTACGAAAATATGAAACGAGTTAGAATTTACTCGGTAGGTTTACTGGAAAACTTTAATATGTGGTTGAAAAACACGGGCATGTGCAGAAGACGCACGATTTGACAATAAGCGAGGGACATGGGTCATGTATTTCTCTTTTCATGTTCATAGACACTATTTTATGAACAATTTTACAGCCATGTTACATGATCATGGCCTTAATAGCAGATGGCGAACTACATTATAGAAGCTGTGAACATAACTTACCCTTTGTTTACGTTGTATATACACATTTTTCTTCTTCCCGCAAGTTAGTGATGTCGATTACAGTACAAGAACTTTTTTGGTAAGGAAATTCCCTTTTTCAAGGGACGGGACTTGTGAGTCCATTACTTGAGCTGGAATTATCGCATAAAAACTGAGCTTATGCATAATTAAACGTTTATTTAATGACGTAGTATGAACTACTGAGAAATAACAGAAAGTCATAATTGTCGATCTCCAGTGGAAGTTAATTAGTTGATACAAAAAATATTAAAATTATGACCGTGGAGTCTAAACCTCAGTCCGGGTGTGGTTATTTTTATCGGTTTTGAGGTAAGGGGGCGAGTTCCTAAGATATCCAATCGGACTTGAACTGGAGACCGTAGCGCCACTGACGACTAAACAAAAGTGTGAAAATTTTTGTTTGTAAGGAGTTCTTTACAGAGAGATAATGGCATTTTGAAAATCTGATACTTTAGAATCTTATATTCAACGGTGCATCATGCTTTACACTTTAATTTCGTTTGTCTAGTTTAAATGTATCCGACGCTTCGATAAATACTGGAGCGAAATCACTTTATACATTCGATCGTGTATTGTTACCTAGCAACGAATCAGCGGTGGAGATATCTTAAGGACAATCGTCCAGTGTGCCTATAGACCTCTTCAGCCATTAAACTTATTACGAGGTAAAAACACGAGTCTGAAGGTACCTCGCGATGGCTTCACAGTCTGTAAATTGGTATTTTGGACTTTGTCTATCGTCTGTATTTCAATAAATTCACAACGTTTCGGAAGCTAAATCTTCTTCCATCTTCAGGTAAAATGGTAAGGACAGAAACTCCACCTATTGGGCCCACTGATTGAGCCAGCCTCAGACCTGGACAGCTTCACCATAGAAGTGTTCGTAGCAAGAAACTTTGCCCAGAAAATAATATTTTATGTTGTGGTTTGGTACCGGCCGTATCGAATTTTATCGATGTCATCTCATCTCTCTCTTTCGTTTCGCAGTTGTTTCTTTATGTTGTTTTATTTGTATTTACTTTCCATTTCTACTTACATTTCGCAATTTGTTAATGATAATTACAACTGATGACTTTGGAGTTTGTCATAGACGGGTCAGATGTCCATCTGTATACATCCATTGATAGTCGTCCACCGAGTCTGCCCTTCCCATTCTAACTGATAACGGAAGAAAATCCGGCTTCTGAAATATTTTAATTTTATTTAAATATAGACTAACTACCTAACTAGATGGCTTAGGTTGAATTTAGACAGAGTACAAAAGACTACTTTTACAGAGGTAAAAAGTATTTTAATAATTTCACAGAGTTTATGAACAGTCTTGTTTGTACACATTTATTGCACTTTTTGCAATATTTTATTTCTTTCTATCTCCCTTTGTCCCTCCTTTATCTGCTGTTGTGCTTTGGTTCCCTTGGTCTCCCAATGCTTAACTCGCCTCGTCCGAGAAAATCATTTCGTTCTTTGTTTTCTGATTGGGCACCTCGAATATATGGAAACGCTTCGGAGGGGCTTTATCTACCACAATTGAACGCGTTCCCAACCCTTTGTGATTGGTCTTGTGCTACGCTTTCCTCGGAAACCTGATCTCGTCGTTCCCGCACGGTTTGAAGCTGTTGCATAAGACCGCGTGCTGTGGCTTCTTTCCCTTGCAGTTCCTATCATCTGTTCTTGTCTCCTCGTTTTTAATTGGCGATTCCTGAATACATTCAACCCCCCGGATCCTATATCCGGTTTTGAACACGCATCCGTTACACTTTCCCCATTGACCGGGTTTCCAACGCGCCTTGCATGGTTCCTGGTTGCAAGGGCGGTTTGTTACCTTCGGTTTGTCAGCCGACGGGCAAAATGAATCACTGACTACTCCGTCTCGTTTCTCGACGCACTTGGGTTCAGACTCCTGTGTCCCACCCCCACATCGCCTGTTGCACTCGCCCCATTCCACGAACTCCCAGTGGTATTTGGGCTCATAGGTTTCTTTCTGTCCACTGTTAGGCATTGCGTATTTGTAAGTGATGCCAGGATTTGCGTCGCCGAAGAAGCATCCATACAGAAGAATCTGGTTTGTTGTTGGACCATCGATGACAATCTTCTCTTGGTCTGCCTTTGGGTGGAAATAATAGCCGACTGTTCCAGAGAGATGAAGTTCCTTGTCGCTCTCCTCGCTGTAGTCTCCATTCAGGTAAAACGTTTTATCATCCTCTGCCTTCAGGGCTAGCGTGTTGGTACTTGGGTTTAGCTCCTCGATTGATATCCTCATGCTACCGGCAGGAATGGTTGCTATCTTCACATATCCTCTTCCGGTGTCCTTGAATGTATCTTCCACAATTGTGCACTCCTTGCCTTCACCGTTGCACACCCCGCACTGGTCTTCAACGGCGTCCGACCCTAGAATCCAGTTACATCCAACAACTTGACACGTGCCCGCTGTACACAGGTCCTTGGTTCCTGGTCTGCAGGGAGTTCCATCTTTTACTCTTGGTGACATCGACTTGATAATTCCGTCTTCGTTTATACACAACAAATTACACACTTCTTTTGGCTCAATCTTTAAAAACGGGGTCCAATGATGCACCGTATCGTCATGTTGGCTGCACTGCTCTTCTCGGAAGGTAGCGTCTTTGGGGTCGCACGGACTTGTATTGCAGACGCGGTATTTCTTACGCGCTCCCAGGCAGTACCTGCCGTGGTTTTGGGGTGCAGGATTGTTGCAGTCTCGTTCGCTAAAGCTGACGCCTCCTCCACAGGTTCGGGAGCAGTCGGACCACGATGTCCACGCACCCCATTCTCCGTTCCTAGCCTGGGGTCTCAGCCCATATGGCACGCACTTCCTGTTATAGCACCATTTGTTGGCAGCACATCTGGTTCCATCAGCAGGTGGCTGCATGTGTGACCCACATTTTTTGGGTGTATGCTCACAGTATAGAGCTTCGCAGTTGGCTTCAGGACCCATGTCACAGGACACTGTGTCCGGAATCTTGAAGTCCTGAGCGCATTGAAAGTTAGCGTCGTACATAGCTCCAGGAGGCATGTCCGGTAAATTGAAGTTGTATTCTTGCGGTTCGTCCAAAAGGCAGTCTCCGAGTCCGTTGTCGAGAAACTCCTGCATGAACTTCTTGCTGCATGTTGACCAATTTGCAGTCGCCATTTGAACATATGGTGACATGACGTGGGCGTTGACCTTGTCTGCCATGGGCTCGCATTCTGAATCGATCTTGTCGTCGTGCCCACAGCCCATTACGTGCCCGACCTCGTGGGTTACAGTGATTCCCAGTGCCAATCCAGTATCTTCGCAGATAGCGCACGACATTTTGGGATTGCAGGCTTGTGCCAAGTAAGCGAGCCCCAGGAGACCGCACTCGGTCACGTTATCAGAGCAGATATCGTACCTCGTGAGCAGAACAGCAATATCGTGATGGTTGGGATGCGTTACGTCTTGTGGGTTTACCGATGCTTGCCACTCGCAAAAGCTTTTAAGCGTCTTTTCAGCATCTCGGTTGATGTAGAGGTCTTTTTCTTCCTCCTGCTTGTACAAGTAGATGATACGCACTACTACAATGTCCATAAGGTTTCCGGAACTGGCATCGTGATAGAAGTCAGACGCCATGTTCATTACAGTCAGGATGTAGGTCTCGACGTCGATGTTCTTATGGTAGTACAGAAACGACTTATCGGCCACCACAAGCAGCTTCAAGTAGCGGTGTTTGCTATCAGTGGTCGACCTCGCGGTCCGAACCCATCTGTGCTCCAACTTAAGGCGGTCTCGCCATCCGTCCTCCCAGCCGCCAGTGCCACAGGTTTTGTGTTCGCTTACAGATCTCTTATGCACTATGTGTACTTGCAGGCCATCCTCCTCCCGCTGGTGACCTTTCATGGGCTCGATGAAGTAATGACCTTCGTTCGTCTTAATGTAGCCAGACATTCCGTCGCAGACCGAGAGTACTACACGAGAGTTGTTCTGACCTTTTACGCGGCCGACGTAATGACACTGAGTTCTGTTCGCTGGTCTTATCTTTACTTTATTGACGTCTACGCTAGCGCCAGGACCCCGTTCTTCTATCATCATTCCTGGTGATATGAAGTCATAGTTAGGCCAGAGTTCTACGAGTTGTTCCTTGCCGTAAATTGCAAGGCCGTAATGCACTTTTTCGGATTCGTCCGGAAGATCTCGTTTTTTTCGCCTGCTCGTATCTCGTTCGTAGAAGTGCGGAATGGAGTAGGACAAGAACTCGCCGTCCTTATTTATCTTCCTCGGTGCCAGAAATTTATGGTCTTCTATATGCCTTGTGTATCGTCCTTCAGTGTCTGTGTTTATCCATCTGTGGTCCTTCGCGCCGAAACATTCGACGTTTTGCATCAAAAGCAGAAATATACCCAGAAAAGGTGCAAACTTCATGTTCCCTTTATTCATTATTCCTGCTCTGTCTTGTTGTTAATCAAAGGCTTGAAGAATTTTCTTTCACTCTTTTTTACTTGTTGCGTTCTCCGCTGCTTGTAAACTCTCCTGCAAAAACCACATTTATATTATTAATGGGGATGAGGTACCGAAACTAATTTGATAAGATGGTGGCCGTCTACACATTATCCTGGAGACACCACGGAACCATCATATAGAAAATTAAAAAGTTTCGTCAGTGAGATTGCTGATTTGAAATTTTATTTTCCTATATCTAAGCAGAAAGTTTTTGACACCGTTACAACCACAGTCTGTCATTGAACATGATACCGATTCACTTCCATCCACATTCCACATTTACCATCTGCTTGCATCAAAATGTTGTTCTGCCATTTGACTCCTGCGTCTTGTAAACCGAGGACATCATGCCAGAACGACATATTCGCGTGCATGTAGTTGACTGTCAGACATCAGTTACTCCAACTGTCCTCCTTACCTGACGTGACAGCCTTGGTACAATTCGTGTTCTTGAAATTACATTTCTCGAAAAGCATAATGTATAACTTACATTAAGCTTCAGACAAAAACCTATTTTTTGCTTTCTTCCGAAATAAGCAAACAATCTTAATATAAGATGGCCGTCTTGTGGGTTGCTGAGCTGTGTAGTCTGGCAGAAGTTTACAGACGACTCATCATCCTGATGATGGAGGCAGCAAGGACCTCTGAAAAGTCGGTAAACTTCTACTTCTTGATTCCTTTGTTTTTTTGCGAAAGTCTTTTCGGCTGTTGTCATGTAAGATACTAATTTATTATGTGTAGAACAGTTACCTTTGAATAGAAATATTCTCGGTGTAGAAAAATTGGCTATTTGTCACCCAGTTTAAATGAAGATGAAATAAACTACAACGAAGTCTAAACATTGTTACCATGGTTATCACAATGTTTATTCGTTTAACTGTATTCATTGTTGCAGCTGGAGTTATAGGTCTGCCATTGGCCACCAGAGTGTGACACCTCACTGTCCTAGTCTCATCTTGCAATTTTTCCCATTCGCGATTGTTTTTGATCGTACGTTAGTCGAAAGTACGATTTTGAGTTAATCGTACGGATACACCAGGCTGTTAAGCGTTGAGAGAGAAAATAAAGACAAATTGTTGATGAAAATACATGAGAAAGGACGAATGAAGTAAGTGAGCAGTTTAGGATTCACATAACAAGGAACTTGGTGGTTTGTACGGTGTAATCTAGTACAGGTTATGCATGTAGCTAGGTTAGTGGAAACGAGGGATGCATATAGAATTTTGGTGGCGAAATCTGTTGGAGTTGCCGAGTAGGCGATGAGATGAAAACATTGAAACTTATCGCCGTAACTGTAAGAAGTAGACGCAACTGGCTGTGGAATTAACGGCGTTTAAACTAAGTATTACATTCCAAGAGTGTTTTTGATGTAAATACGTCTATATTTTCGGGTCAGTGTCATTCGGCAAAAAGTGAAACGAAAAAGTGTAACTGCATTGTTATGTTACCTTGGAAACGTCAATTCTTTATTTGGCGTTATTGTTACCTAGGATACGTTACTTAGCATTGTGTTACATTACTTTCGTTATTCTGGAAAGAGCTCAGCTGTGAATCGCTTGTAGAAGAATTGCGTCGTGGAGTAGATAATTTTGTGCTGGTAAAAACTTATCTTATATAAGAATTATTAAGTAATCTATTGTTGCGTTTGCGTGTTGCGTCATACTATGTACAATATGGATGACATTGATGCTAAAAGACTCCATAAAGCAGAATATATGAGACAGTACAGAAAACGTAAAGAAATAGAAGTATTAACTAATGAACCTAAAGTGCGTAGAAAAAACCTATCGTTTCTAAAGTCCATACCTAATTCTGTACACTACTGGGCTCAGAGGAAGCGAGAAGTATTTGCCATGATAAGGCAATTGGGAAAACCTACCATGTTTTTAACAATGAGCGCAAATGAAATTCGCTGGCCCAGATTGCTAAATGCGCTGCATCGCTTAAAACATGGTACAGATGTAAAAGAGCCTATGACAGAATTGTCATATGTACAAAGAACTACCTTGGTAAACGAGGATTCAGTAACGTGCGTTGCTTACTTCAATAAGTTGATTGAGGTAATTATGCATGTATTGCAGTTGAAAAAGAATAGTCCGTTTGGTAAATATTGCATCGTGGATTACTTCAAGAGAATTGAGTTCCAACATAGAGGGAGTCCACATGCACACATCTTGATGTGGTTGGACAATGATCCGAGGGAACAAATTCCTGAAAAAATGCCACAAACCATTTCGTTAATAGATGAGTTATGTTCTGTTAGTGAAGAATCATTATCCACATACAACAATCAAGTGCATAGTCACACGTTCACATGTTATAAAAAGTGATAGGGGAACCACGGTTCCGGAGAATTTGACGTAAATACGTCTATACGGAAAGGAATTTTATATATTGGCTTTATTCTAAATATTTCCTTTATACGAGGTGCGATCAGAAAGTCTCCAGACTGCGCGTATAAAAACCCGTACACTTATCTCGGGTATTAAATTCATCCATCACCCTCGAAGTAGTTCCCCTGGGAGTGAACACAACGATCCCAGCGCCGCTGCCAAGCCTGGAAGCATCCCTGGAAATCTTTCTTTCTCAGCCTGTCAAGCACCATCTGCGATCGTTCCAAGACGTTGTTCGTTATGTGTATCTTGCATTCCTGAGCTTTTACGATACGTATCGTAACGTTAGCAGCCATTTTAAAGCATTAAAATCATGTACTAATTATCATATAATAATTTTCTGATAATTATTGTAATAAACACATTTTTTAAAAGTTTAATATATGTTTGGCATTTCTTTTGACGTAAATACGTCTATATTTTAGGGTCAGTGTCATTCGGCAAAAAGTGTAACGAAAAAGGGGAACGAAAAAGTGTAAGATGGTTACCTAGGAAACTTCACTTAAGTAGACAAAGTGGCACTATCACATTTAAAAACGGGCAATTTAAATGTAAAAGATTACAATTCCCGTTAGTTGAAGCTGGTGTTCTAACGGTTCATAAGTCGCAGGGTGGTACGTTTCAACAAATTGTATTCAACTACAACAAGAGTCTAGATCATCAGCTGGTGTACGTTGCCCTGTCTCGCGTTACATCGTTGGACGGTTTGTACATCACAAGCAGAAACGACTTCGTGTTTTATCATGCCAAGGGAACAAACAATCCAAAGGTAGAGGACTTGCGCACTGAGCTGAGGCGGTTAGAAACACATATATTGCCCACGTTCACTGCTTCGGTGAGGGCATTCATAAGGAGTGCTGGTATTCGTGATCTAAAAATGACTATTCTAAACGTACAGAGTTTAAAAAATCATGTGCAAGACATTGCAACGGATACAGTGATAAATGATACCGATATCCTGGCGCTAACCGAAACGTGGATGCACAACAATGAAACTGTATATTTGGAAGGTTATAAATGCATCACGCAATTTATGCGAGACGAACAAAGAGCAGGCGGAGTGGCTATCTACGAGAAACGGAGCAACTACCATGGATACCCCACATCTGTTGATGAAGCTACCTAAAGAAGATGGAGCAGATTACAGAATAGCTGCAGCTGAAAAGAGAGGAGATATCTGTGCGGCAGACTGTATGGTCAATGGTGAAAAAGTTTTAATTGTAACTCTGTATATTTGTAACCATAGACTTATTGATGATTGTAAGAGATTTATTTTGAGTCATTTGAGAAATTATACAAAGATGTTTTCAGCTATGGCCACTGAAGATCCTAATACAATGCCGATAATATTGACAGGAGATTTTAACATTGATTTAAAGAAGGAGGAAAATCAAAGCTTTGTTACATTTATGGCTTAACGTTGATGTCAAATCCCCAATGTAGTACTACTAGATCAAAATCTTGTATAGATATGGCGTTTGCACGAAATGTTGATACTCTAAAGTGTACAAATTTTATAACACTAGGGCAGAGCGCTCCTTTCGGAGCTCCTCGGGGGAGTTGGTCAAGGGGAGGGGAGGGGAGGGGGTTGGTTGGTTGCGTTTTAAATTCTTACGTAACAAACTAAACTATCCCCCCGAATGGAGGGTTAAAAAACTAGACCAACTTCAAAACTCAAATCTTCAGTGAGAAAATAAACTAACCCCCTCGAATGGAGGGTTAAAACACTTGACCAACCCCACCACTTCGGGTTGTTGGTTGTGTTTTAATGATCTTAAGTAACACACTAACCTAACCCGCTGTCTCTATCTGATATTTTACTTCTTTACGTCGCTGTTCAGCGGCCAACTGTTCTTGGTCAGTCAACTATCTACGTCCAACCCCACCGTTTGCAAATCTTCGTTTGTTTTTCTTTTGCTCTGCTGTTTTTATTGAATACTTCTGATGTTTTAGTTCTTTACGTCGTTGTTCAGAGGCCAACTGGTCTTGGTCAGTCAACTATCTACGTCCAACCCCACCGTTTGCAAATCTTCGTTTGTTTTTCTTTTGCTCTGCTGTTTTTATTGAATACTTCTGATGTTTTAGTTCTTTACGTCGTTGTTCAGAGGCCAACTGTTCCTGATCAGTCATTTATCTACGTCCAACCCCACCGTTTGCAAATCTTCGTTTGTTTTTCTTTTGCTCTTCTGTTTTTATTGAATACTTCTGATGTTTTAGTTCTTTACTTCGCCGTTCAGATGCCAACTGTTCTTGGTCAGTCAACTATCTACGTCCAACCCCACCCTTTGCAAATCTTCGTTTGTTTTCCTTTAGCTCTTCTGTTTTTTTTTTTGAATACTTCTGATGTTTTAGTTCTTTAC